AAAAAAAAAAAAAGCTAACTGCTGGCTTGGCGCCTGTGGCTCAAGCAGCTAAGGTGCCAGCCACATACACCTGAGCTGGCGGGTTCGAATCCACCCTGGGCCTGCCAAACAACGATGGCTGCAACCAAAAAAATAGCCAGGCGCTGTGGCAGGCACCTTGCAGTCCTAGCTACTTGGGAGGTGGAGGCAGGAGAATCGCTTGAGCCCAGAAGTTGGAGGTTGCTGTGAGCTGTGATGCCATGGCACTCTACCTAGGGTGGACAGCTTGAGGCTCTGTCTCAAAAAAAAAAAAAAAAGGCTAACTGCTCAGCCCTCAACATATGAAAGCAAAGATGGGAACCTAAATATAAGACCTGTATAATTAATCTAGGTGTCTGAGCCCTAGGATCTTCCTAATAAGCATGCTGACAGTGTTTTGGTGCTTTCAGACACACAGAGAAACTTAACAGGAAAAAATTAATTGTATGGTACCATACCCATTCTGTGGATGCTTGGGGATGCACAATTAGTAAGAGCACACCTTTTCAGGCAAAGTAGATCTTTTGGTTACATAGAACACATTTTGCTGATGGTTATTTGGTATGTTTGCTAAACTCTTAAGTGGCTCTTTGCAGTGAATGGATTGCCCCCTTTTTAAATGAAAAGACAAATGAATTCAAAATTAATAAGCAAAACTTTGAGACAGAGTCTCACTTTGTTACCCTCAAGAGTGCTCTGGTGTCAGAACTCACAGCAACCTCAAATTCTTGGGCTTAAGTGGTTCTCTTGCCTCAGGCTCCCAAGCAGCTGGGACTACAGGCCCCTGCCACAACACCTCGCTATTTTTAGAGATGGGTTCTCACTCTTGCTCAGGCTGGTCTAGAACCTGTGAGCTCAAGCAATCCACCTGCCTCAGCCTCCTGTGGATTTATAGGCATAAGCCACCACACCTGGCCCAAAACTTTAGTAATTTCTGAATGCAGGATATGAACATCTTTTATATTTCTTATGTGGCCCATACTTAACACATTATAGTGAGCTCTAAGTATCTACATCAGGCGTCCTCAAACTATGGCCTGAGGGCCACATGCAGCCTGCCTAGGACATTTATCCGGCCTGCCGGGTGTTTTTGCAGCTGCTGCCTGTCCGGCTTAGCAGCCGGCTCATCATCCCAGAGCCCACAGTCCAGCCCTCCAACCTCCAACAGTCTGAGGGACAGTGAACTGCCCCCTCTCCCCCACCTCGTTTAAAAAGTCTGAGGACCCCCTGAACATTCTCTGGCTGCAAGGCTGTGTCCACTTGTGTCATATACATTTCTAAGGACTTCACAGCCATTTCAAGCTTTTTATTATAGGGGATCAGAACCTGCTCTGCTTCTTCCCTCCAGTTTGAGTATATGTCCAAAACTCAAATCATGAAGTTAAGATTCTATTGCTCTGACCTCCAGACTTAGGTGTCTGAGAATAGAACAGTTCTCTAAGCCGGCAGGGGGAGAGAAGAGATACCAGTAGAACAAACTGGGAAGAGGTGGCAAACCCTACCTCTGAAGGCTGACAATTTTACTGAGGTTTCTAGCTGGAAAAAATGTCTGTGGGGACAAGACAAAGAGTACCTTAACGTCTTGATCAATAAAGGCAAAACAGTAAAAATATCAATAAAATATTTTAATGCCTACAATTTATATGTATACATAAACTGTAAAACTTTCACCTGTATATGCAAAAGTATATTCTCTTGCAGGTCAACAGCACCAAAAACCAAACTAAGCTATGGAAAAGATTTTTTTTAAAAAACTTGATTTGTCCATTACATAAAAGACATGATGGATTTAATAACTCCAAAGAAATCTATATCTCACTGTTAATACACTAAATGTCTGAATATTCCATCACATCCACTCAGAAAATAAATAGTAGTCTAATATATTCAGCACATTGAAAATAAAACCACCAGTCTCTCTTTATATATTTATTCTCTTTCCAAACATGTTTTGGTCTCCTGCTATATCTCAAAAATGTACTAATACCTGCTTTTAAGTTACAAAATACAAAACAATTTCTTGGAGAAAATCCTAGGGATTACATTATAAGCAAAATTTTGAGTTCCTATAGACTTTTTTAATAACAGTCTTTGAACCTTTTTACAGCACACACATAAGGCTGCCTGTGACATGTGGTACCCTGGCCTCCAAATGGACATAACTGCATTTATAGTTTAGAGAAAATACAAAGTTCTGAAAGTAGCCTTAAATAAGTGCCCTCTGCTTTGACGTAATATCAAAAGCAAGTGGGACTGTGCAATCAAAGCCATGAGTTTTATGAAAACTACTTTCCTTTCACATCATTTGTGTTAGAGAATGCCACACCCATGATTATGTAACATTATTACAATCATGAAATAACATTACTACATTCAAAACATTACCCAATAAAAGGCACATCTTTAAATATAGAAGAAAATTTGAAAAATCAAAACAGAGGAAATATTAAAAATCAAGCACATAATTTACAAACCTTGATAAAATAATAGCCTATTCCAGTTTCTTCAAAAGTTTGTGAGTTTTGAGGAGTCATGAAGTACAGAAGGACAAAGTGGAAGACAGGATTTGAAAACAAAGCCAAAATTTAGACAAGTAGTAGACTGAAATCACAGATTTCAGAGTCTGAATGTTTAAAATAAAGTCCACAAAAAACTTTGGGAGGAGGAAGAAAAAATGCACATCAATGACAGCAAAGGAAATAATGTTATAAACCTATTTTATTACATGGAACATCACACTACCCTTAAAACAATTTCACTGAAGGTATTTGACATTGAAGAGGAAGTTAATAGGATTTTCTGCTACCAGTATAACAGTTCTATGTGGAGAGTTAGGGTGTCATTCCTAGCGATGAAGATACCTTTCACCTTTCATGGAATTCCACTTCAAAATTAAACCCTTATATTTGGAAAGTTTGAAACTCAATTAAAATGAGTTGGTCTAAAGGACTGGGTCACCTGGTCCCATTAAGGGAGGCTAACAATAGTAATCTGTAATATCCAAACTTGAATAAAGAAGACTTTATGGATAAAAAGGAATACAAAAAAGCATCTGGATCTATTAAAGAATACAGATTCTATGTTGGACAACCCCAACTTCCTAATGCCTACTGTTCAAAGGCTTGAGAACATTTATTGTAGAATTATCCTACAAGCTTAGGTCTGACTTCCCTCAACCCTCCACATATAGTGCCAAGGACAAATGCTCTCTAGCATCGTATCTCACTTTATGTTGCTACTTGTTAGACTTGGCTTTCCTCCAGCCAGACCCATGTCAGCCTGACTGGAATTCCAAGGATTTAAGTGCTATCAAATCTATAGATATGACTTCAGGATGAAAATGAAATTCCAGAGCCCAGTAAGACACCAATAACAGGGAGCATCCTTTTCTATCTGGGGGGAAAAAATCTCTTCACAGTGCATAGTTTGAAATGAAAGTGCAATATAGACAAAAAGAGAAGGTGGTGCTCTTGATATAAATTTAGTTTTTGGTTTTTTGGTATAAATATTTTCTAACAAATTTAAGCTAAGAATGCAAAGTCATTAACATCCAGAGGTATGGGGCACCTTGGGATTTCAAAATATCTTTATGATGGGTAGGGCATGGGAAGGAGGGAAGCCTCACATGTCACTTATTTTTTAAACTACTAATCTTTCAAATCTCACATTTGAATAAAATATTTTTCTTTAATATAAAAAATGATTTTTAAGGTAAAAATCAATCAGCACAGTGACCTTGTCTATTTTACACTAAAGCCAAACTTTTTTAATAAATCTGAAAGGAAAACTTGTAGAAGAATATTATACTCACATAAACTGTATTTTAACTTCGAAAACTTTGTTAATTGCCTAATTACCTAAATTAATAAGAATGCTCAGCATCCAATCCATGAATAATATAGAATATACTTTACTTTGCACTTCAAAGTCACAGGGATGGCATCCATATGATAATTATAAATCCTACTCTACATTTTCAAGTTCCAACCCAAACTTAGATTGGGACAAGTCACTTTGCTGGCAACATTCATGGGAGGGCCAGGTTCCTCATAAAAAGTTTAACTGGGAGCCAGGCAGTATGCCCTACTCACATATTAGAATTATTATAGAAGTCAAGGGACAATCTTTTTTCTCCTTTCAAAGAGCAAAGGAACAACAAAAGACTGGTTGACTGGTGAGAGGTCCCATATTAGAGTGCATAGCTCATCAGGATCAAGGTTGGCATCTGTGAAGAATCAACTTCATAAGGGCACAGTGGGCCTTATATCATCTGCATTACAGATTTCACCCTGGAAAATATCTGAAAATACTTTATGCTCAAATGACAGCCTGCAAATAACAGTATGCATGCCTTCTCCTTGAGTATCCAAGTATAAATCTAAAACAGTAAGGGGGCATCTTCAAGCCTAAAGGAAGAAAATTCTTGCAGCAGCAGGTCTCTCGAATTTCACAGAAACAAAAGCAGCTGCTAAAACCTCTTGAGTTTCTTGGCCTTTCGACGTTGCAGTTCTTCTTCTTCACGTCTCATTTCCTCTAAGTCCTCTTGCATACCTAGTCGTAAACTGCAAAAAAAAAAAAAAGTTAAGCGGGTATTTGTCAGTATATATAAGACTACCACTTTCTTTAAAAAGCAAGACTGAAATTTTAACTGAGAGCTCACATGGATTGTGCTGATGCTCTCAAATTGCCTCAGGCTTTTCCACTAAAAACACACTAGTGGCTCAGGCGGGTGGATCACTTGAGCTCAGAAGTTCAAGACCAGGCTGAGTGATACTGAGACCCCCGTTTCTACTAAAAATAGAAAAATTAAGGCAAGAGGATAGCTTGAGCCCAAGAACTTGAGATTGCTGTGAGCTATAATGCCACAGCACTCTGGTCAAGGGGCCAGAGTGAGACTGTGCCTTAAAAAAAAAAAAAAAAGTAATGACCTCCCACCCCACGGGCCATGGAACCAAATTATAGTAAGAAAAAAGGATCTCTCACACAATGAAAACATCTTAGTATCTCAAAAGCTTTTAAAAATAAAGGACAAGAAACATCTGTTTATCAACATTCTAATTCTTTCCCAACATTTTAGTTTGACATTTTATCTAGTTACAAGAAAGAGGACAAGAGGAAGAAAAGGGCTTTAAGGATCTGGGTTAAGACTGAGGTGAATTATTTTACCTATAATTAATAGGTAATTAATAATTTTTTTTTCGGCTCGGCGCCTATGGCTCAAGCAGCTAAAGGCACCAGCCACATACACCTAAGCTGGCGGTTTCAAATCCAGCCCAGGCCCGCCAAACAATGACGGCTACAACCAAAAAGTAATTTTTTTTTTTTTTTTCTGGAGACAGAGTCTCATTTTGTTGCTTGGTAGAGTGTGATGGCGTCACAGCTCACAGCAACATCAAACTCTTGGGCTGAAGCGATTCTCTTGCCTCAGCCTCCCGAGTAGCTGGGACTATAGGCACCTACCACATCACCCAGCTATTTTTAGAGATGAGGTCTCGCTCTGGCTCAGACTGTTCTCCAACCTCTGAGCTCAGGCAATCCACCTCCCTGGGCCTCCAAGAGAACTAGAATTACAGGCATGAGCCATTGCACCTGGCCCAATTAATAATTAATAGTATAGGCTCGGCGCCTATAGCTCAACCGGCTAAGGCGCCAGCCACGTACACCTAAGGTGGCGGGTTCGAATCCCCAGCCCGGACCCGCCAAACAACAATGACGGCTGCAACCAAAAAATGGCCGGGCGTTGTGGCGGGCGCCTGTGGTCCCAGCTACTTGGGAGGTGGAGGCAGGAGACTCGCTTGAGCCCAGGAGTTGGAGGTTGCTGTGAGCTGTAATGCCACGGCACTCTGCCCAGGGGGACAGCTTGAGGCTCTGTCTCAAAAAAAAAAAAAAAAAATTAATAGTATAAACAAAGTAATTACTTATTACTCCTGCCCGAGAAATTATCACTAGTTTACTATCAGACAGCCAAACAGGCATCAGACAGAGGAAATGAAATATACCTTCACCTGGTCTCTGAGGCTAGCAATGTTATGGGTTAGCAAGATTGAGATGTGTCTGATGGGGAAAGAAAAGCAAGAGTATATTACAACAGGATTAGGGGAGGCCTCACATTTGCTGTGTGCCTACAGATGAGGTACTGCACTAGGTACCTTATAGACATTGTCTTATTTTCACAGTCTCAAACAGTGTATTCTCATTTACAAATGAGAATGAGTGGATTTAGAACAGCTAAGGAATTGGCTAAGGCCCCACCGCTAATAATCAGGAATGGAATCCAGAATTGTAGCCCCAAACCATCATTTCCAATAGTGCAACTATAGCAGTAAGAAGCGTTAAGTTTTATGCTCACCTCTTTGCTTCTTCCTTCTGCTGCTCTTTCCAACTACTCTCCATGTAACGTAAGGCATAGTCACTTTCATCTTTGTATCTGAAAAGAGGAAGTCAAAGTTACAAAAAAAGAACAAAAATTCAATTTTCTTTAGGAACAATATCCTGTCATTAAAAAAATCAACATCTCTTTTATAACTAAAACACATTTAAGATTACTCCTTTTTACCTGGTGGAGAATGAAGGGGTGGAAGATGAGTGGAGGTGAGTTTCTGAAGTAAAGACAATTGAGCCCTTATTGTCTTCTGAGGGCAACTATTCCTAAATCTAATGTTGATGAAGGTACTAATCCAACAATGCTTTCGCAATTCACTCACCAATATTTATTTGATAATATATATTAAAATTCTGAAACCACAATAGATATGAGAATTATTTTGTATACATGAACCTGACTTGACTATCATGAGGTAGGGAACAACTTTAGAACAGAGGAAAGTGAAGCAGATAGGTTAATGGCTTAACCAAAAACATACAGTTTAGTTAGAAAATAGCAGTTAAGATTAGATTTTTAGATCTGACTTTTTTTTTTTTTTTTTTGAGACAGAGCCTCAAGCTATCCCCCTGGGTAGAGTGCCATGGCATCACGCTCACAGCAACCTCCAACTCCTGGGCTCAAGCGAGTCTCCTGCCTCAGCCTCCCAAGTAGCTGGGACTACAGGCGCCCGCCACAACGCCTGGCCATTTTTTGGTTGCAGCCATCATTGTTGTTTTGGCAGGCCCGGGCTGGGGATTCGAACCGGCCACCTTAGGTGTATGTGGCTGGCGCCTTAGCCACTTGAGCCACAGGCGCCGAGCCTAGATCTGACTTTTAATCTAGTTCTTCCTTCTACTCTACTAAATGTCTTTTCTTAAAAAAAAAAAAAGACGACCTTTTCTTAGGATAGCCTTTGCCATTTAGATTTGTGTTCCTGTAGGTCTGGGGTACAGCCCAAAAGCCCGCATTGTAACAAGCTTATAGGTATGGTAATGCTGCTGGTTCTATACTGCTGTCAGTGACTACAGTCTTGAGTAACAAAGCTTTTTTATACCAAGGAAAAAAGGAGATGTCAGATCAGACTGGCTTTCAACACGGCCTTGTGGATGGCTGACTTCAAGGCCAATTTATTTCTACTACACTAAGCAGCTTCATTCTCATTAAATATATATTTTGTAAGGATAATAGCTTAAAAGGGGATATTTATTGTTAAAGGCAATAGACTACTTTTCCAAAGGGATTTTTTTGGTTTTCATGAAAATAACTACACAAACTATTCTGAATTAATTCTATAATATTTAATGCCAAAAAGTGTATTTGTTACTCAAGGATTCCTAAGAATTATATTTGATACCTTTACAATGCATGTCTATTTCTCTTCTAATAACATGAATTATTCAAAATAAAAGTATATCATATTTATCTAAATCTTAAAGCCTTACTTTTTTCGGTCATAGCCAAAGATTTCTCGAATGTGCTTGGATATTTCTTCCTGAGATTCTCCTTCATCTTCGATAAAATCTTCCATATCAGAGTCGTATTCATCATCATCATCTTCCTCTTCATATTCTCGATGCCTTTTGTAACCAGTGGGAAAGGAAAGCCTTTGAGAACCTAAGAATAGAAACCATTATTATTTATAAGAACATTAAAACCTAAAACAGGCCCAACGGAACCCTATGTAAATTGAGACGGTGAGAAATCATTAAAATAATAACCTCAGAAACTAAAGTGAGCAGGCTACTGTCATTACTACATCATCTCTGCTGTATTACGGTATCTGGAAAGACTAGAGCTACTGTTTATCTCAGGGTTTTCAGGAAATACCTTGTTACATTTTCTAGCTTAGTAGTACCCATATTTCTGAATTTAAAAGATCAGTAAAATTCTAAAAAGAGAATTTACAAACTGCCGTAGCATCATGATCCTTTAATTTTGCCAAGACAGCAGAAGTAACAATTACCATCTACTATAACACAATTTAATGTAAAAGGTTTTTTTTTGTTGTTTGTTTTTTTAAGATAGAGCCTTAAGCTGTTGCCCTCAGTAGAGTGCAGTGGCATCACAGCTTATAGCAACCTCCAACTCCTGGGCTCAAGCAATTCTCCTGCCTCCACCTCCCAAGCAGCTGGGACTACAGGTGCCTGCCACAATGTCCAGCTATTTTTTGGTTACAGCCATCATTGTTTGGTGGGCCTGGGCTGGATTTGAATCCGCCAGCTCTGGTGTATGTGGCTGGCGCCTTAGCGCTTTGAGCCACAGGCGCTGAGCCTAATGTAGCAATTTTAAGTCCAATGAAGTATGAATGATTCTCAGAATTATAGATAACTGTTCAAATTGAGTAAGTTTGACTATAGGGGAAAAAATCACTATAATTTTTTTTGTTATTTTACCAAAAGACTGAAAAAAACTTTGCAAAAGATAGGCATTGATCCATAGAACAGCATCTGGGAACAACTACTTTCTGGTCTTTGATTACAGACACTCCTTTTGTTCTTCTACAGTTGTTTTTAATAGGCATGGCTTGTCTTCCTATCTCAAGAGTTTCTCAACCTTGGCATGACATTTTGGGTCAGATAATTCTTTGTTGTGTAGAGGGGTTACCCTATGCATTATTAGCAGCATCCCTGGCCTCTAGTAAGTAAAGGCATCCCCTATCCCCATTTGTGAAAATCAAAAATGTCTCCCAAGACAAGACACAGTGGCTCATGTCTATAATGCTAGCACTTTGGGAAGCCAAGGCAGGAGGATCACTTGAGGTCTGGAATTCAAGAATAGCCTAAGCATGACTGAGACCTTGTCTCTACAAAAAACCCAGAAAAATCAGCCAGTCATAGTGGTGTGCACCTGTAGTCCCAGCTACTCAGGAGGCTGAGGCAGGAGGATCCCTTAAGCCCAGGAGTTTCAAGTTACAGTGAGCTATGATTATGGCACTGAACTCTAGCCAGGTGACAGAGCAAGACCTGTTCCCCATATCCAGGTACCCCCCAAATGCCTCCAGATGTTGCCAAATGTACCCTTTGTTGAGAATCTAATAGTCTAGTTGAATTAGGAAGTTTAAAGCAAGGAATTTCATCATTAGTTTCTTTTTATAGTCTCTGTGGTACCTAACAAATGCCTATTAGCATGAAGCAACTAAGACCTAGCAGGTAGTAGGTAATGAACTTGTACCTTGGGACAGACTGCTAAAGGATCAGTGGTTAGGACCTTGATACTACCCATTATAAGAACAAGAAACACAAGGATAGTATAAAACAGTTCCTAGAACGTAATAGGTGTTTACCAAACGTTTGCTCAGTAAGTACATATCAACAGGCCTCAAGTTTACAATTAACACTCTGATCCTTGAAGATGAGTCTTTTTGATCCTCAGAAAAAGGTAACAATGGCTGGGCACCTGTAGCTCAGTGGTTAGGGCACCAGCCACATGCACTGGGGCTGGTGGGTTTGAACCTGGCCCAGGCTGCTAAATAACAACAACAAAAATAGCATTGTGGCGGGCACCTGTATTCCCAGCTACTAGGGAGGCTGAGGCATGAGAACTGCTTGAGCCCAAGAGTGAGATTGCTATGAGTTATGATGCCACAGTACTCTACCAAGGACGACAAACTGAGACTGTCTCAATTAAAAGAAAAAAAAATAAAGCTTAAATCACCTACTGAACCGCACGTATCCAGAGTGTGCCAAAAAATGTATACACATTTTAAGAAAGGGAAAAACTGTATTAAGTTTGTAATACTCAAGTCATGTTTGACTTCTGCAATTATAAGAGGTGCTCAATGTGCCTTGTATTTGTCTTTTGTTATTGGTATATATCAAGTTTATAATTTTAATTATTTTTTTCCTTTTTTAAAATGTGTATACATTTTTTGGACACCTTCTGTATGTAAAGCATGTACTATATTCACCTCATCTCACAAATCAACAGTTTATAGCACTTGGGGAACACTGTAGGGGTGAACACAGGACCCTAAATAAGTCTTTCTAAAGACTTTTCTAAACCATGATCATTAAAGAAACTCTTAGCCACAGGACAAACAACACATCAGAATTCTATGAACAATAGAGTATAATTAAAGAGCACATAAAAGGGTTCACAGGGCCAGGGTTCTAGGTCATATATAAAAAAAAGTACTTGGTCTGATTTCCTAGTGACAATAACTACTCTTTAGAGTGAGTAGCAATTTTACCTTGGGCAGTTCTATAGCCAGATAGGGGAGGCTTCATTCCATTCATCTGTCCATTGCTAGACCGGCTAATGATATTCTTGGAAGAAATTGTTTCTGAGACAACAGTGCACTTGGGCTTTATGAGGGGACCTGAGCTACCAGCTGTTCGTCCAGGTCCCAAGCTGCCTGTTGGTCTTCCAGGGCCTGAACTACCAACAGTCCGTCCAGCTGGAACTGAGCCACTTACAGATCGCCCAGGGCCACTGACTGACCGCCCAAGGGGGCCTGAGCCACTCACTGGTCTTTGAAGGTCATGTGGACTGCTCACAGGCCGCCCAGGGCCTCCAGAGCTGCACACAGGTCTTGAAGAACTACTTGAACCACCGATGGGTCGCCCAGGGCCACTTGAGCTGCTTGTAGATCGCCCCAGGCCACCTGAGCTGCTTGTAGGTCGCCCAGGGCCACTAGCACCACTGACTGTCCGACCAGAGGGATTTGAGTCACTGAATGGCTTTTTGGTCCCGCTGAGGGATCGCTCAGGTCCTAAGCTGGAGCTGCCATTCTGCCGCCTGGGCATAGGGCCAGAACTAACAGTGGGATGAGCAGTTGCTGTGCTGAGCCGACCAGAGGCTGAGTTAGAGCTACTGCCTGGCTGCCTGACACCTGGACTCTTAGTCTTATTGTGTGGAGTGATCATGGGGCTAGGCCTGGAATGGCTAGGATGGGAAGGAGATTTTTTGGCTTTGTGCTCAGTAACAGATTTCTGCATCCCACTAGCAGAAGTCTTTGGGACACTTGGTGAATAGGTGCTAGAATGGGCCTTTCCAGCCCCATTGAAAACAGATCTGTTATGGCCCTCACGAAGTGAGGGTTGGGAGCTATTGCCAGATCCTGCCTTGGTCCTCTCTCCCGGCATGTATTTGGATGAAGACAAAGCTAAGTGTTTCTCATTGCCAATGCTGAGTCTGGATTTCTTCTCAGCATGAGGAAGGGGCATTCCCTTGGAAGAAAGATGCTTGTCTCCAGAAACTTTGCTAAGTTTTGTGCCCATGCTTTCTTTCTGAGAGGGTGCCTTTTTGGACACAGTTGGAGGTAGTTTTGTGTCTGTCTCAACCTTTTTCTTCCTATGCTTTCGTTCAAGGAATTCTCTCTCCCTAAGTTCTTCTGCAGTCATAGGCCGCTCTTCTGATTTCTTCACTATCTTGATCTCCACTGGTTCAAACTGCTTTTTCTCAGCCAGCCTTAGTAGATCAGTGAAGTTCATGGGTGGTGGGGCACTTTTAAGGGTGGGGACCTTTGGTTTGCTTTCAACTTTGGGAGGTTCTTGCTCTTCCTCATACTCCTGTTCTGATTCTACTTGATTGTTTTCAAAGAATTCATCTTCTTCTTCCATCTCATACTCTGGGTCTGTTCCCTGGCTGGTGGGCCTTTCCATTGCCTGCCTCTTCTTTGACTTTTCCTCAATAGGAATCCCATCATAACCATGGAAATTATCCTTTGTCCTCTTGGCCATAGCTCTTGCTTTCTTGTCATGTTTGAGCTCGATTCGCCTTTTCACTAATTCTTCTTTTCTCTTTTTCTCCTCTAAGGCTAAAATAAGGACAAAGAGGGAACATGGTATTACTGCAAAGTCTCAAGATAGCAGCATGCTCAACTGAAAACACAAATAATATTCAAGTTACATTTGAAGACATCTAGGAATCAAATAAGGGAAGTCATTTGAATAAGTATCGGTTGAGTCATCTTTACATAACGAGTGGGACACATATGGGTTTTTCTATATGACTAAGCAAGTGGGAGACTTGGTTTACAGCTTTAAATATAGGAATTAATTCAACCAAATAAATATACCATGGGAACATTAGTATCCACTTAGCAGTTATTATGACTCAATGAATACTTAACATATTAAATTAGTTTGTCATTTGCATGATATAAAACTACTTGAGCTTAATGGTTTAAAAAAATTATCTATTTAGACAGCATTCTTATTAATAAGAAAAAGTAAAATTGGCTTGGCACCTGTGGCTCAAAGCAGCTAAGACGCCAGCCACATACACCTAAGCTGGCGGGTTCGAATCCAGCCCGGGCCCGCCAAACAACAGAGATGGCTGCAACCAAAAAATAGCCTGGCGCTGTGGTGGGCACCTGTAGTCCCAGCTACTTGGGAGGCAGAGGCAAGAGAATCGCTCGAGCCCAGGAGGTGGAGGTTGCTGTGAGCTGTGATGCCATGGCACTCTACCCAGGGCGACAGCTTGAGGCTGTCACAAAAAAAAAAAAAAAAGAAAGAAAGAAAAAGTAAAATAAAAACAGGTAGGAACAGTTTTAGAGCCAGGTTATTAAAGAATGAAGTTATTGGAAACTTCCAAATAACTTATTAATACAAGACATCGTTACTACCCCCAAAAAGCTTTTAAGGAGAAATAAAAGACAATTTCTACACAAATATAAAGAACATACATGAAGCCATAAACCCAGTTAACCAAGCCATACACACCCCTCAAATCTAGTTCCCTTTTATATTTTTGCAAACATTCACTGGTTAAGTACAAGCTAGATGTTGAAGGTGGAAGATTTAAAATTGAGAATAAGACTACAAATATATACCTTTTTTTCTGAGTTCTTCTTCTTTCCTTTTAAGAAAAGCTTGTACTGCTGCTGATTGGACACCTTTAACTTTTGGGTCTTTTTTTGGAGGTCCCACTGCCAAACTATACCTTTTCTAAAAATGAAAACAATAAAAGTTACATAATTCAACTTTAAACATATACCGTCTATTAGGTATAAGGCACCATAAGAAAGTTTTAAATGTTAACTGTAAAATCCACTCTGAATAATTAAGAAATCATAAAACTTAAAGTTTAGCTATAAATTTTCAGACTAAATATTGATTATGGATGGCTATTTTGTGGTGCAGAATTTCTTTTTGTTTTTTTGAGACAGTCTCATTCTGTTGCCCTGGGTACAGTGCCCAGGCATTAGAGCTCACAGCAACCTCAAACTCATGGGCTCAAGAGAGCCCCTTGCCTCAACCTCCCAAGTAGGTGGGACTACAAGAGCCTGCCACTACAACCAGCTTGTTTTTCTATTTTTAGTAGAGATGGACTCTTGCTCTTGCTCAGGCTGGTGGTGCAGGGCTTCTATATAATATCCAAAATAATAAGTGAACAATTCAAAGAAATTCTGTTTTGGAGCTAGGTGCAGTGGCTAATGCCTGTAATCCTAGCACTCTGGAGGCTGAGGCAGGTGAATCACCTGAGCTCAGGAGTTCAGATCAGCCTGAGCAAGATTGAGTCCCATGTTTAAAAAATAGCTGGGCATTGTTGCTGGCCACCTGTAGTCCTAGCTACTTGGTGGCTGAGGCAAGAGGACTGCTTGCACCCAAGAGTTTGAAGTTGCTGTGAGCTATGACGCCATGGCTCTCTACCAAGGGTGACAAAGTGAGATTGTCTAAAAAATAAAATTAAAATGAAAAAATAATTAATCACTATTTAAAAGAAACAGGAAAAAAACTACTGACAACTATTTTCTCTCCTGATTACCATATTCCAGATGATTTCTGAATAGGAACCTATAGCTACATAGGTTATTTTGCTTAGAATATGGTAATACTGAGATTTTATTTTGACCACAAGCAAAGGCTAAGAGCAAACTATAGTTCAAAAGCATTTCAAGGAAACTAAGAAGAAGGGCCAAAGTCTCTGTAACTTTTAATTGCAGCTCTTATATTCACTAAGTATTAATTTGCCATATAAACTCTCTTTTAGACAGATTTCTATATCACCCTAAAAAGTGCATATATATGTATTGTCTTGGCACAAATGGTATTTCTCTGGACTTCAGTTCTAATGCAACTACATTAGGAAAAGATTAAAACTAGAATAACATTAATTTGAACTATGGAAGGAAAATATTTCCTCTTTGTAAGTATCTATTGTGAGAGAAGTATGATGAACCCAGAGGTAATAATTTAGACCAGAGATGATTCTCTAGGACCATTTCTACATTAAACTTACGGGCCAGGAAATAACATTTGTAGTGTGTCTTCCCCCTTTTGTCATGTTAGGCAGATGCCATTCTTTATCTACTGAACCTGTTGCTGTGGCTAGTAAAAAAAGAAATACTAATCTCTGAGAATAAGGCCAACAAATTAGGAACTAGAAAAGTATTCTCCAAATGTATATGAAATTATTGAAGGAAAGCCAAAGGATATGTGCTGACTAGAAGGCTGCCAAATACAAAGATCTCAAACAGGCTGTAAGTATGAACTAAATTAGTCTACCAATGAAGCAGCTGGCCAAGGAAGGAGCCCTAATCCAACCTGAAAATCTAGCTTGATGGCAATGCTGAGAACTGACACAGCCCCAACATACAGAAATTCCCAAATGATATCCAGATTTCTTTTTTTTAAGAGACAGTTTCATTTTGTCACCCTCGGCAGAGTGCAGTGATGTCACAGCTCACAGCAACCTCCAGCTCTTGAGCTTAGGCAATGATTCTCTTGCCTCAGTCTCCTAAGTAGCCAGGACTACAGGCGCCCGCCACAACACCTGGCTAATTTTTGTTGCAGTTTGGCCTGGGCTAGGTTTAAACCCACCACCCCCGGTATATGGGGCCAGTGCCCTACTCGCTGAGTCACAGGTGCTGTCCAATATTCAGATTTCTTTTCCAGTCACCTTGGTTATGTTACAATGAGATCCTTTCTTAGTATATTTAACTGTAGACTTTCTATAGTAAACAGAGGAATCTATATTTAAAGTAGGTAAAGGAGAAGTAAACTGCTAACCCAATTAGATAGTATAAAATTGCCTAGTTTACAAGAAAAGAACCTCAAACACAGGTCTTATTCACAACAAGCTCACATTTTCATGTGGAAAGGACATGAAGAATATGAATTCAAGTTGATTGAAGATATACAAACACTCATAAGCAGAGGCACATATTCCACTTCATTAGTAGATTTAGAAGTAGAGGAAAGTGGATTTTTGTCACCAAGACTTAAGATTTTCCAGTCCTTATCACTATAGCCTACAGGTTTACCTGCCAAATCAAAGCCTACACAGAATTTCTCCAAGAAAAATGCAAAAATACTCATACACTTCGGTGTTACTTATTTTTTTTTTTTTTGAGACAGAGCCTCAAGCTGTCCCCCTGGGTAGAGTGCCATGGCATTACAGCTCACAGCAACCTCCAACTCCTGGGCTCAA